TGAGGTTGAGGGCCTTGAAGTGAAGGGTGGCAAGTTTAAAATGCCAAAATTTGATGTGTCTCTACCAAAAGTTAGTCTGCCAGAAGGTGATGTCACCATAAAAGCCCCAGACATGAAGGGAGGGAAGATTGAGATGCCAGACATTGATATTTCACTCCCCAAAGGAAAAGCAGAAGGAGAAATTGATATTGGAGGACATGCTGGTAAAGGAGGCAAATTCCATATGCCCTCTATTGATATCTCACTTCCTAAAATGAAAGCTAAGGGACCAGAGGTCAACATAGAAGGTCCTGAATTAAAAGGTGGGAAAATACACATGCCAGACATTGACCTTTCACTTCCAAAAGGGATAGTGGACATTTCACTGCCAAAAGAAAGTGTCAAACTGGAAGGACCTGAGGTGATAGGAGGAAAGATGCCAGCAATGCCAGCTGTTGACATATCCGTTCCAGTGGGAAACATGGAAGGAGATATCAATATTCAAGGACCATCAGGAGATATGGAGATACCAGCCAAGTTGAAAGTTAAGGGTGCAGACATTCAGACAGGTGGTGTTGAAGGTCCAGGCGCATCACTTAAACTTCCCTCAGTCAAATTGCCAATAGTTGACATCACAGCTCCAAAGGTGGATTTAGACTTTGGTCTTAAAAAACCAAAAGGGGACGATGTGGAAGTGGAGCTTCTTAAAGCAGAGGGAGGAAGGCCTTCTTCTGGGGGCAGCTTTGATCTACCTGATGTCTCCCTCAAAGTCCCCAGTTTTTCTTTCCCCAAGTTTGGTACAAAGTCCAAGAGTGGTGAATTAGAGATATCAGGCAAAGGCCCTAAGGCAGATGTTTCCCACGGCCCACCACATGTGGGAGGAGAGATAAGAGCACCATCAGTAGAGTTCGATGGGGATGGAAAAGTCAAGGTGAAAAAAAATAAAATCAAAATCCCCTTATTTGGAATAACCAAAAAAGATACAGATGTTTCTGTGTCTTGTCCTGATGTGGATGTTAAAGGGAAAAAAGGGAAAATTCATATTCCACAACCAGAAATCAAATTTGAGAGCCCAGATGTTAAATCAAAATACAAAGTAAAATTCCCAAAGTTTAAAATGTCGCCACCAAAGGGTCAACTGCCAGAAGAAGAAGTTGATGCAAAACTGGAGACAGATGTTGAAGGAAAAGGTGGCTTCCATGCACCTGATGTTACTATCAAATTACCCAAATTCTCCATGCCAGGATTTGGCTCCAGAGAAAAAGATTTGGGGAAGCTTCAAGGTGACCTTGGAGCCAAGGTCAAGATGCCCTCCATTGAGCTGTCACTACCAGCAGCTAAAACTCCAGAGAATGAGGTTCTTCTCCCCAAAGCAGAAGTTGATGTTACAGAGGCTGATATCAAAGGTTATGAGGGAAACCTTAAAATTCCCAAAATGCCAATTATTGATGTTTCCATTCCCAAAATAGATCTGGATGTATCCCTGCCAAAAGGAAAGACCCAAAAGATCCAAGGACCAGAAGTGGAATTAAAAGCGGGTGAAGGAAAGTTCAAAATGCCTCACATAACAATGCCAGACGTTGACCTTTCACTTCCCAAAGGAAAGATTGAAGGTCCAGAAGTAGAAATGAAGGGAGGTACAGGAGGAAAGTTCAAAATGCCTCATATTAAAATGCCAAATGTTGACCTCTCTTTGCCCAAAGGAAAGATTGAAGGTCCAGAAGTCGAAATGGAGGGAGGTACAGGAGGAAAGTTCAAAATGCCCCACCTCAGCATGCCCTCTGTTGATATTTCACTTCCCAAAGGA